ATGCATCAGGAAAAGAAGAGGTCCCAGATCCAGCACAGAGGGGCCTATACTTATATAAGGCACAGGAACAGGTGTCAGCTGGCAGCTCTGTCACTCATTATCCAGGTCCATGTCATAGATCCAGAGCAGACGGAGAAGAGCACCTGTGCCTATGGGTAGTATTTATGACTAAAGAGCGAGCCCTTTGCTGTATAACAGTCAAAGAACACTTTCAGAAGCAAGCAGCAGCTGGGTGACCCAGACCTCAGGAGGCTGGTCTCAGTTCTAGCTTCCAGAACAGTCTGAAGCCTGTAAAAGAATAACTAGGGCAAGGAATCAGTGACTAAAGGGGAGTTTTGTCACTCTGAACCAGCAGAGAAGCAATCTACTGAAATTTCAAACTGGGCACTCTCACAATTCTGTTGCTCAAACCTAAACCCAAGTCAGAGGAACTTGTAGATCTCATCCTAGGTGGGAAGCAATCAGATTTTTCCCTGGCTGAGATATCTCCACTTTGGGAGACTGAAAGCTTGCAAGTTCCCAGACAGAACTGTATTTGAGGTCTTAGAATAACAGAATCCTTATGGTTTCCTCATCTGTAAAATGAGCTGGAGAAGAAAATGGCAAACCACTCCAGTGTCTTTGCCAAGAAAACTCCAAATGGGACATGAAGAGTCAGACACAACTGAAATGACTGAATAACAATACAGAAAGAAATCAACATCAGGACTTGAGAGGACATAAGCTCAGCCCAAACATTTCCCCCAGAAATGTGAAGAACCCAGCCCTTAAATAAAGCCCAAAGTCAGAAATAGACTGAAAAATTAGGAAATGAGGAAACAAAAAAAATCTTGTCATAAAGAACTATTATGGAGACATGGACATTCAAGATATGAACACAAAAGAAGAGAATGAGATCAAAATGTTTACAAGCAAAGTCCCAGAGAAAAATACAGCTTAGGAAAGACTTAGCTCCTCTGATCAATACATTGATCCACGATAAATTCAAAGGACTCATGATGAAAAATGCTATCCAATTTCACTCTATTTTTCTTGCTACATAGCTAGTGCGGAAATACATTTTGCATGACTTTATATGTATAATGGACATTGTATTTCTTGCCTTCTCAATGGTGGGGGGAGCAGAGACAGGGAGAGAATCTTGAATTGAAAATAAAAATAAAATAAAACCTTTAAAAAAAGAAGAATTGGGAAAGATGTCTTATGGAAAATGAAATTTTAGTTGGGATCTGAAGGAAGTCAGGGAATAGAGGAGTTAGATATGAGGAAGGAGAGAATTTCAAGCATGGGGGGCTGCCTGTGAAAATTCATGGAGTCAGAAGATTGGGTGTCCTCTTTGAGAAACAAGAAGAAAGTGCTACTCTGATTGGCCCCAATCTTTTAGAAGAGAAAAAAATAAGGATAAATTCAGTGATAAACATACACACAGAAGAGAGAAAAGCATAGGTTGGGCACAAATACAATTAGATTTCAAGAAAGAGAAAAGTAAGAGTAAAAATAAAAAGAGGTAAAATGTTTTAATAAATGAAATGAGAGTACCAAATGAAAAATTTGGAAAAGGAGAGTTATGATGAATTAGAAAGAGAACTTGCAGCTCAGCACAAGAGGCACTTGCCCGAGCAATAAACTGGCTGAAAATTAGAATAGGCCAAAAATAATTTGAAGCCCTGAGACAAGAAGAAATATTCAAACAAAATCAAAAGCCTGAGAAAAAAAGAAAAAGAGAACAAATGACAGATCTGAGAAAACATTATTGAAGAATCATTGTACTATTTTTCCTGTTGCATACAAAGAGTGAAGGTTACCCTTCAGCCTCAACAGAAGGACCCTGAAGTGAACTCAAAGGAGGGAAGGGTTGAGATACATCTCTCCTGTCCCCTCTCTCCTTTTAAAAACCTCTTCACCCTCTGGCATGGCTGATGACTTTCAAATTTACTTATCTTGCCTCACTCTCTCTGATAATCTCTAATCTTGCACCTCCAACTGCCTTTCAGACATCTGGAACTGGATGTCCACTAGATACCTTAAACTCAGTATGTCCAAAATGGAACTCATTCCCCTCTCTCTAAACCCTGTCCCACTCCTACCTCTTTAATTGCTGTTGAGGGCAACACCATCTTCCCAGTTCCTCAGGCTCACAACCTAGGAGTCATCCTGGATTTCTTGCTTTCTCTCTGCCCTTCTCTCTCTCTATCTAATCTGTTGTTAAGGCCTGTTGATTTCACCTTTGTAACATATCTCAAATACTCTCCTTTCTCTCTCTGACATTGCTGTAAGTCCTGTCCACCTTATGCCTAGATTGTTGCATTAGCCTGTTGGTGGGTCTAATTCTCTCCCAACTCTAATTTATCCTACATTATGTCACTAAAGTGATTCTCCTAAAGTATGGATGTGATCATGTCAGCCTCCTACTGAATAAACTCTTTTGCCTTCAGATGCACGTACAAAACACTGTTTGACGTTCAAAGTTCTTTATAATCTAGGTCCCTTCCTACCTTTCAAATTTTCTTACATGTTGTGCCCCACCACATAACAGTGCTTTGACCCAGTGCTATCTGATTGTTTCACAAACAATATACCCCATCTCTCAGCTCCAGGTATGTCTGGCTGTCTCCCATACCTGGAATGTTCTCTCCGTGTGCTCACACTACTGATTCCTCTGGCTTCCTTTAAGTCCCAAATAAAATCTTATCTTCTACAGGAAGCCTTCTCCTACCTCTCTTAATTCCAGTGCCTTCTCCCTGTTAAATATTTCCTACTTATCTAGCATATAGGTTGCATATTATTATATATATACATATATATTATATATATATATATATATATATATATATATATATATATATATATATATTTGTTTGCATGTTGACTTCCCCATTATCTAATTGGGGAAGTTCCTTGAGGGCAAGTACTATATTTTGCCTCTTTTTGTGTTCCTAGCAATTAGCACAGTGCCTGGCACATAGTAAGTGCTTAATAAATCTTTATCAATTGATGTAACTAACTGGCTTTGGTCACTGAATGAAGTTTTGTGACCTTAAGCATTTTTCTTTCTTTTTAAAAAAATTAACATTTTATTTTTCCCTAGTTCCACGTAAAAACAATTTTTAACATTTGTTTTTAAACCGTTGAGTTCCAGATTCTCTCCCTTCCTCCCTCCCCCATTCCCTCCATCAAAGGCAAACAATTCCATATAGATTATAAGTGTGTAGACATGCAAAACATTTCCATAATAGTCATGTTGTGAAGGAAAACAGACGACAACAACAAAAAAAAATGCAAGAAAAATAAAGTGCAAAAAAGTATGCTTCAATTTGTATTCAGACACCTTCAGTCCTTACTCTGGAGATGGATATCATCATAAGTGCTTCAGAGTTGTCTTTGATCATCATATTGCTGAGAATAGCTAAGTTATTTACAGCTAATCATCTTATAATATTGCTGTTACTTTGTGCATAGTACATTTCTCTTTGCATCAGCCCATGAAGGTCTTTCCAGGTTTTTCTGAGAGCATAGTTCATTATTTCTTATATTACAATAGTATTCCATCATAATCACATACCACAACTTATTCAGCAGTTCCCCAATTGACAGGCATCCCTTCAATTTCTAATTCTTTACTCCTATTACTTATATACATTATTTAAATATTTATAGGTCCTTTTCCTTTTTTTTTAAATCTCTTTTGGGATACAGATGTAGTAGTAATATTGCTAGGTTAAAGGGTATGCATTTTTCCCACATTCCCTCCAACATTGTCATTTACCTTATCTGTCCTATTAGTCAATCTAATACATATGAGGTAATACCTCAGAATTGTTTTAATTTGCATTTCTCCAATCAATAGTGAGTTAGAGTATTTTTTCATATGACTATAGATATCTTTGATTACTTCATTTGAAAACTAATCATACCTTTTGGTTATTTATCAATTGGAGAATGGCTCTTATTTTTATAAATTTGACTCAGTTCTTTATATGTTTGAGAAATGAGGCCTTTATCAGAGAAACTTGCTTCAAAATTTTTTTCACAGTTACTATTGTTAATTGTATTTTCCTCTATCCTATGCCTCCATTTATTCTATTCTCTCTCTCCTTTCACCCTATCCTTTCAAGTGGGTGTTTTGCTTCTGACTACCCCTCCACCAATCTTCTCTCTCTTCTGTCACCCTCCCTTCTCCCCTTCCCCTCCTACTTTCCTGTAGTGTAAGATAGATTTATATACCCAGTTGAGTGTGTATGTTATTCTCTCTTTGAGCCAGTTTTGATGAGAGTAAGATTCATTCATTCATTCCTCCTTCTCTCCTTCCTCTTCCCCTCTACTGTAAAAGCTTTCTCTTGCCTCTTCATTTTTATTTTAGGCAATTGGGGTTAAGTGAGTTGCCCAGAGTCACACAGTAAGTGTCAAGTGTTTGGTCTGAGGTCAATTTTGAATTCAGGCCCTGTGCTGTATCCACTGCACCACCTACCTGCCCCTCTCTTGATTCTTTCATGTGAGATAATTTACCCCATTCTACCTCTCCCTTTCCCTATGAGGCATTCTCTGCTTTCATTCAAATAATTCCTACTTCATACTTTTCATTGATTGATTCATTGGGGTGTCTAGGAATTACATATTGTTTGCGTCTTTTAATGATTCTTTAACTAAAAGAATATTCTGACCCTAATAAAGTCATGATGACACAGAATTTCTTGGTAATTATATTAATTGGAGTGAGGGATGTAGGACATTGCTCTTATATTAGCTATTCTCCAGGGCCATAATATATTACATTTCCTAGTTACTAACTGCTTAAAAAAACAAACAAACAAAAAACAGTTCTTGAATCCTTCCAATATAACCTCTGCCTTAATATAACTCAGGCTTTTTCTCTTTGTCTTTAGAATATTGTGAATAAATATGTTATGCCACGCATATTCCTAATAACTGACTCCTTACAAATGATTACAAAGACTTATACTGCTACTCATTGCTAATTATTCTATGTCATTTTTCCACAGGGTTCTGAGTTATACCATTTCAGAGTGAAAGTTATTCCTGGAGTCACCTTTTGTGAATTATTTACTGAGTTTCAGGTATGGTACAGGTTCTGGGTCCAAATGAGGCTGAAGGTTTAATGAAAATAATGGGAATAAATGTAAATTTTGACTAGGAAAATTACAAAATTAAGAGTAAATCTAAGAGATTGAAGAGAAAACAAATTGACATAACTTGGTGAATAATTTGAATGGATGATGGGAAAGGATGATATAGGAAAAAAAAAAGTATGGGGGTTTGAGCCTAGTCACCAGGAGAATGATGGCCCTTCCCAGTGAATGGCATTGTGGACACAGATAAGTGGGCAGGTCTTATCTAAAGTTATAAGTTTGGGCGCTTTGTCTAATTAGTACTAAAACTGATAAACTTGATCTCATTTATATAGTACTTTAAGGTTTACAGTGTAACTATGCAAAGAAGATGGTGTAAATATATGTCCCAAAAGTCTTAGTGCAATTTTAAGCTTTAATAGCCAGTCAAGCCCAGTACAACTCAAATAGCTTCATACAGCATTAAAACTTTTGGGACACCCTGTATTTATACCATCTTCTTTATATGACAATGGAACTTAAATTTTAAGCTTTAATAACTTTATTGCATTGAAGATTTATAGACTAGAAAACAGACCCAGATAAAACTACTTATATGACCACAGGGTCATATAGCTACATAATGTTAGAGTCAGTATAGGAACTCAGGTCTCCTGGCTTCAAGACAGTACTTTTTAATACTATACTCCTGCTGCTTCTGCCTGCTTTTCTCCCTACCAGCAGTTCTTCTTCCCCAAATGAACTTTGATGTGTTCCCTTATGGTTTAAACTTATGGCTTATTTAGGCTTTTGGAGCTTTGAATAACTAAATTGCATAAGATATGCCGGCGAAGATGGTGAACTTGCCTCAGTGCAAGTGCCTTCGGACTTTTGTCCCTAGGCACTCATTTTGCATAAGATTAAGCAGAAATCTGGGAAATATAATAGGATGGCCACCATAAGTTAGAGCTGTGTTCCCTCTCAAAAGGAATTGACTTCTGAACCAGAAAGTATTTTTGGATACAAGGCATTGTAGCAGCACTCCACCCAAGAGTGAGGCTGGAGGTGATAGAGAGTAGTATTTATTGCCCTGTGTGAGGAGCAAGCCCAGGGAAGCTTCCCTTCCAAAGGAGACAGGCTCAGCTAGCAGCAAAGTAACCCATCCATTCCCACCATATAGTCAATTTAGCGAACACTCTCAAGAGAAACAGTTGAAAGTCATTAGTTGACTTGGCCACGTGTGGAATGTACTTTTGCGTTCAATAGGTTGCACTATTTTGTAGCCATTCTTCCTTTCCTGGATTCTGTGTTTTCATTGCAGAGGGTGTCACAGTTTTTGGAAGGAATGCTTTATAACTTCTGTTCTTGTGCCAGCATTTGAATAATGCCCTTTATAAGAGTTTCAGGTACAATACAGGTTCTGGGTCTAAAGGAGGCTGAAGGCTTAATGAAAAAAATGGGAATAAATGTCAATTCTTGACTGGGAAAATTACAAAGTTAGAAATGAATCTAAGAGATTGAAAAGAAAACAAATGGGCATAACTTGGTGAATAGTTTGTGAAAGGATAGTATAGGTAAAAAAGTTTAGGGTTTTGAGACCTAATTGAATCTATAGACTAAATGGAGGCTTATGGGGAGTGGTTCATCATATAAAAGTGAAAATAGGCAGAACTCTCCAACTTCTGTTAAGATGGTCTGTTGAAGATTGCCCAGTTGGTACCCACTACTTTTTAGCCACCATTACTCTCGATGGCGTTTTGCTAGAGAATCCAGAATTCAGAATGTAAGGAAGAAGCTAAAAAAGCACATTTAATCTCCCTTTTGTCTTGTCCATTTTATATTATTTCTTCTGGGTTAAACCCTTAACTTTGTCGGCTTGAACTTCTTGAAATGTGCTCCTAATACAATTAGCTCAACTTGAAAGTATTTTATCATAAACAGCATGAAAGAAACATTCCCTCCATCACACTAGGGGACACTCTTTTCAAAATCCACAAAGTGTCAGTGAGAAGGGTTGGCATACCTATAGAGTAGAGGGCACACCTTTGAGAAACACTCATAACCCAGGTAACTCATACTGCTAGTACTAGAGTCCTTTGTACTTTCTTTTTCATGATGATGTCTTCAGGGGAAGCAGTTCCCCCTGGTTGTAGTGTCTCTTCTGAGAAGGACCATTCAGCTGAATTACCTGGTCCTGTTTCTCTAGACAGTTTAGCTCTCAATGGCGAGGTCTCTTCTCAACTCTAGAGATAACATTGTGCTTCTCAGAATTGTCTCTTCCCTTGATTCTAGAGCCTACCTCCTATTGTGTGTTCCTACTGGGCAAGTTAGATGATGATGACCAATGTGGGAGGAAAGAGGAGACAAAATTCCAGTTCTTCCACCATAAGTGAATCTTTACTTCTTTCAGAGGTCACATTCACCAGAGCTGCCTCTTGTCTAAATTACCCTTTACAGAGTATGTCTTATCAGGCAGAGCCAAGATGGCAGAGTAAGGCAGGAACTCTCTTGAACTTTCCTCATTTTCTGTCCAAACAACTTTAAAATTATACTTCAGAATGAATTCTGTAGTACCAGCAAAAAGATGTGGTGAAACAGTTTCTCAGCCCAAGACAACTTAGAAGTTTGATAGGAAAGGTCTGTCTCATTGAAGTGAGGGTGGAGCTCAGTCCAGCAAGTAGGCAGCCTGGGCAAGCCAACAGTAGGCCATGACTCAGCAATCCAGGAGTGAGGTCCTGTGCCTGGCCCAACCTAGAATCAAGGCTTAGGCTCCACGCCTCAGCACAAGTCAGCAGCAATCCCTGGCCCAGCAAACTAGGGCAGGCCTTGGGGGCAACTAAGTCAGCAACTATGATTCCTAGAGATCTCAGCCCACAGAAAGCAAGAGGGCCAGAAAAATGGTAGAAGGAGGTTACAGGTACTGGGTACAGGATTCTGTCACATTGCTGAAATAGGGATCCATTTCATACATGCAGGCCACAGTTCCAGGGTGCAGACGAACACTAGAATGGCAGCCATAGGGGAGCAGGGATGCTGCTCATACTCCACTGTGGAAAAGAATGCTTGTGGTTGCTCACAGACCAGAGCACAGGCCAAGAGAGCAGTGACCACACCTCTTCTCAGAACATATCACTTTAGAAGAACCAGAAACTGACAGGTCCCCAGAATTAGCTCTGAAAATAGCAGCACAAAAAACCCTGAAGTTTGGGACAGTGCCTCCTCCACACCAGGAGCAGAACCCAACTTTAACACAAAAGTAAAAAAAAAGGCTGGAAAAATGTACAGTATAAACAACAAACAAGAAAAGAATCATCATAGAATGTTACTATGGTGACAGGGAAGATCAAAGCATAATCTCGGAAGAGGATAACAATGTCAAACAGCTACATATGAAGCCCCAAAGGAAATGTAGATTGGTGTCAAGTCCCCAAAGAACTACTGCAAGAGCTCAAAAGGATTTTAAAAATCAAATAGAAGAGGTAGAAGAAAATTTGAGAAAAGAAATGAGAACAATGCAAGAGAATCATGAAAAAAAGAGCCAATAGCTTGCTAAAGGAAGTACAAAAAAAGGGGAAAAAATGTACAAAAATTCACTGAGGAGAATAGATCTCACTTGGTTAGGTGCCTTACAATTCTATTATGATCAGAAAACATCACACTTGGGGAAGGGGAAACAAAGTATAAACCCTGACTTATATTTCGTTTAAGACCTTAACACCTCAACTCTATTACCTCTCCTTTTACATTCTGTGACTGCATTAACTGGGTTGGGGAGAAAATTGATTGGGAATTCATTGTTCCATCTCCTCCTACCACACTATGTGCAGCAAAGAATTTCCTGGGAGCCTAGAGGGCAATCCTGACATGTGTCCTGTTTCTGTTAGTGTACCATAGAGGCAATCTCATTTCTGATAGATGGTTTCAGAATGTCTAGCTCCCTCTGAATAATGCTGGGCCCATGGATATATTTCAAATAGAAAATTAAAGGCAGCTCTCCAGATATATACTGTATACTAGCATATATTTTCTAGAAGGCACCATCATCCAGGCCACAAATCCTCTCACATCCCAGAATTTTAATTTATCCACATGTTGTGCATATCTTCAGGAGCTTCAGACTCTAGATTATATGAGACCAAAATTTCTCAGACTCTTCTAACACACATTTGCCACAATGCTTCTTATAGCATCTTGGGCTAGACCCCAAACCATCAAATGACAGCACTTGCCTCTGTTTCCCTCTTAATTCTAAAGCTTTCCATCATCTCAATATACTTTTAAGCTATTGATGTATGTGGCCAGTCATTAAAAAAATTTTGTTTTTGCATCTGTCCTGCACACATGTTTCTTTTAAAATAGATGACTGGCTGTTTCTAAGAGTGGATGAGCGTATTTATTGTAAATAAAGCAAAGGTTTGTTGTCCACTGAACTAGAAAGAGAGGTAGTGTGACAAGGTAGATAAAGTGCTGAGGATGGTTCAAATCCTGACTCCAACATCTTATTAGTAATGTGACACAGGGTGATCATTTAACTTAGGGGAAAATGGGCCAGCAGAAAGAGCACTAGATTTGGAGTCAGAGGCATCTGGACAGAGGGCCCACATCTTAGTGAAGTTGAGCAAGTTATATAACATCTTTGGGCCTCAGTTCCTCACTTTCAAAATGAAGGGTTAGATTCCATAACTACTAAAATCCCATTTCTCTCTCTGTCTCTGTGTGTATATATATATATATATATATATATATATATATGTGTGTGTGTGTGTGTGTGTGTATGTGTGTGTGTGTAACATATATGTGTATATATGCATATATGATTCTATGACCTTATGAGTCTGAGTCTCATTTTCTTCGTCTTTGAAATGAAGACAATTCTGCCTCTAATGAGATGGTTATAAAGATTGTTATGAAAAGGACTATGCTATATAAATCGAAGCTTCTATTACTTCAACAACTAAGGGGATCCCAGAGTATCCCACTGGCTTTAGTGAGTAAAACTAGGGATCTAAAATGCTGTTTTCTTTCCGTTTCAGATTTATGTTGATAATGCACCACTTCCATTTCCAGGAAGACTGCTTATTGCTTCTATAGTGGCCGTAATTTTAGGAGGAATAATTCTTGCAGTGTTTATGAAGGAATTATTTGACATCCAGATATGGCTGCTGCTTAAAAATCTGGTAGTAAGAAAGAACAAAGTAGCTGAATCAAGTTCCTCTTTTGATGAAGAAGATTAAATGGAATTATACATTATGACACAAATGAAAAATAACATGAAAACCACAGCAATTTCTCCCCCCCGCCCCCGCTGTTCTTCAGTCTTTTCAATAATTTCCTAGAACAAGACTGGTTAAACATACAAACCAAATGATAATAATACAGAGTTAGTATTTCTTTTAGAATTCAATTAATTGTTTCTAAGTATGCTTTAATGTTTGCTTTTATAAATTTAACTATCCAACTATTTTTTGTTAATATACAATTGAAGATTGTTATGTATTTGCTGTTCATTTTTCTATCCCCATTATTCAATGACCTTTTTTGCCTCTGAATAAAAAAAAAAGTGAATTTCCCTATACTAAATACCATTACTGTCATTTACATTTTTTTTGAATTTCTAGTTGCATGATATGTTTTAGGCTGACCTTGTAATAAGCATTTTTCTTGAGAGAAACATATTGATGAGTTTTATTTCTTAATACAGTCTGTAACTTTTTTAAATGTGAGAACTCAGACCATTCAAATTTGTTAATATAAACAACAAAATTGATTTTTACTGTTATTTTCTTCTTCTTTTTTGTAAACTTGCAGGAGTAAAATTTATCTTCATATTTTATATTTTTATCAATTGAAATTACCAAATAAAACAAGTTTTATTTCTTTTAAAAATGCTTTTTTTTCCCATTTTCAATAAGATCAGGGGTGAAACAAGGATGTCCATAATCGCCACAGTATTCAATATTGTACTAGAAACATTAGCTTTAGCAATACGAGAAGAAAAAGACATTGAAGGTATCAGATTAGGCAAAGAAGAAACAGTTATCATTCTTTGCAGATGACATGATGATAAACTTAGGGAATCCTAGAGAATCAAGTAAAAAACCACTTGAAATAATAAACAACTTTAGCAAAGTTGCAGGCTATAAGATAAACCCACATAAATCATTGGCATTTCTATATATTACCTACAAAGTCCAACAGCAAGAGATAGAAAGAGAAATTCCATTTAAACTTACTGTAGACATTATAAAATATTAGGAATCTACCTACCGAAACAAACTCAGGAACTCTACGAACACAATTACAAAACACTTTTCACACAAATAAAATCAGATGTAAATAATTGGAAAACCATCAGCTGATCATGGGTAAGCTGAGCTAATATAATAAAAATGACAATCCTACCTAAGCTAATTTACTTATTCAGTGCCATACCACTCAAACTACCAAAAAATTACTTTATGGACTTAGAAAAAAATACTAACAAGATTCATTTGGAAGAACAAAAGGTCCAGAATATCAAAGGAACTAATGAAAAGAAATGCAAAGGAAGGTGGCCTAGCCATTCCAGATCTTAAATTGTATTATAAAGCAGCAATCATTGAAACTGCTTGGTACTGGCTAAGAAATAGAGTGGTGGATTAGTGGAATAGGTTAAATATGCAAGACACAGTAGTCAATGACTACAGTAATCTATTATTTGATAAACCCATAGACCTCAGCTTCTGGGACAGGAACCCACTCTTTGAAAAAAACTGCTGGGAAAACTGGAAAAGAGTATGGCAGAAACTAGGCATAAACCCAAATCTCATACCATATACCAAAATAAAGTCAAAATGGGTTTATGATTTAGATATAAAGGCTGGTACTATAAGCTAACTGGGAGAACAAGGAATAGTTTACCTATCATATCTATGGAGAACAGAAGAATTCATGACCAAACAGGAGATAGAGGAAAAGCAAAATGGGTAATTTTGATTACATTAAATTGAAAAGTTTTTGCACAAACAAAGCGAGTGCAACTAAGATTGGAAGGAAGGTAGAAAATTGGGAAAGAATTTTTAAAACCAGTCTCTCTGATAAGGGCCTCATTTCTAAAATATATAATTAAGACAAATTTATAAGACTACAAGTCATTCCCCAATTGATAATGGGTCAAAGGATATGAACAGACAGTTTTCAGATGAAGAAATTAAAGCCATTTATAGTCATATGAAAAAATGCTCAAAATCATTATTGATTAGAGAAATGCAAATCAAAACGTCTCTGAGGTACCACATCATACCTATCAGATTGGCCAACATGACAAAACAGGAAAATGATAAATGTTGGAGATGTGGGAAAATTGAAACTAATACATTGTTGGTGGAGTTGTGAAATGATCCAACCATTTTGGACAATTTGGAACTATGCCCAAAGGGCTATAAAAATGTGCATACCCTTTGACCCAGCAATAGCACTTCTAGGGCTATATCCCAAAGAGATCAAACAAATGGGAAAAGAACCCACATGCACAAAAATATTCATAGCAGCTCTTTTTGTGGTGGCAAAGAATTGGAAATTGAGAGGATGCCCATCAATTGGGGAATGGCTGAGCAAGTTGTGGTATATGACTATAATGGAATACTATTGTGCCATAAGAAATGATGAACAGGCTGACTTCAGAAAAACCTGGAAAGACTTGTATGGTCTGATGCTGAGTGAAGTGAGCAGAACCAAGAGAACGTTGTACACAATAACAGCTATGTTGTGCAATGACTAATATTGTTAAACTTAACCCTTCTCAGCAATACAAGGATCTAAGACATCCCCAGAGGCTTCGTAATGGAAAATGCTATCCACATCCAAAGAAAGAAGTATGGAAGTTGAATTGCTATCATTTTTTTTCTTCTGTTGAGTTTTATTTCCTCTTTCTAATGGTTCCTCCTATTGGTTTTAATTTTTACTTCCAACTTCACTAATGTGAAAATATGTTTAATAGGAATGTAAATGTATAGCTTACGTGAGATTGTGCGCCGTCTTGGGGAGGGTGGTAGAGAGGAAGGGGGAGAAAAGTTTTAAACTCAAAAGCAGTTGGAAGTGATAGTTGATAAATCAAAATAAATTTATAAAATTTAAAAAAATATGCTTTTTTTTACCTTTCTGTGGTTAATCCCCTCACATCCTGCAAATTGGCAAAGATGACAAAACCTGGGATCTATCAGTCAATGCTAAAGAGGCTGTAGAAAGATAGACTCAGTATATTATTGAGGTAGCTGTACAACAGTGCAGCATTTTGGAAAGCAATTTGTAATTATGCAAATAAAGTGACAAAATATTTGTAGCCAGAGATTTTACTATACTAACAATATACTCTGGGTATGAATATTTTGTCACTTTATTTTCATAATTACAAATTGCTTTCTGACCTGTTGTGTTTATCCACCTTGTTAGAAGGCTCATCTTACTTTGTACAGTTCATAACAGGCAATTGGGGGTGAAAGATGATAGTATGGTCTTATATTATCCTCTCAGTAGCAACAAAGACCCAGGAGCAGGAGAATAACTGATTTTACAAGTGGCATAGTGAGTAGCTACTTTCAAAAGCTCTAAGCACTTACCAGTTATTTGGCCTTATTATTGGTCCCTATCAAAGGCTCCACTCTGCCTGATCTTTGTTGACATAGACAGTCATAAGGGCACAAGTGGTGAGGGGTGAGGAGAGAATACTGGACAGTCTATTTTGGTTCTTCCAGGGCTATTGCCTATTCTGGGCTCCACTTGAAAGAAGCAGGTTTGTGGGTGACTTAATGAATGGGATTCATACTTAAGTTGGGAAGGTGAGTTCTCCAGAACTTAAAAATTCCAATTTGCTTCTAGAATTTCTTTTATAAGGAAGCCAGTGTCAATAACTTATTCTGAGCTGTCCAGAATCACCTGAGTTCCTATCCACCTGTATTCCCCCAAATTTTAGTGAGTAGACTGGATTCTGTTTTTCCTTCAGGTTAATTTCCTACCACTTGTCCCTTATACAGCTTGCCATTTATAGGTCCTCAGTCATTTTAACCTGGGTCAATATGTCATCAATATGGTGGTGTACCCCACTACCCAGAGGAAAGGATGCTTCTTTCAGGTAACTGCTCACCAGACCATAGCAATATGAAGACCAGTTCATGTAGACCTGAGGAAGGGCAACTAAGGTTTAGCACTTAACCCAACTCCAACATAGGTGAAAGCAAACTATACCTAAATGGTCTCAGTTATTGAGAAAAGAGGTAAAAAACACATTAATAAGGCTGATTACCCTACATATTCACCCTATATAATTCACCGTTGATTACATCAGAATAGCTGCATTGATGGGTACCAGGTGCCATCTGCCTTCTTAACTGGCCACACCAGGTTTTTGTAAGGGAATTTGACATACCAAAGTATTTCAGCCCTCTTCATCTTCATTACTAGAGAGGAAATGTAAATTTCACCTTCTATTTCCCCCCTTCCATCAGACCTGATATTACTCAGTCACCACAAGGGTTGCCCTTTGGTCCTACCCACAATAAGTTGACATTGAATTTGTGAAAGGTCACGATAAATACTGACTTCCAAGAGCTTGTAATGTCCATTCCCATAATATGGTCCCTCTGATTAGTCACCACAACTGTGACCGGCACAGGGGGTCATCTGCCTACTTCCAACTGGGCAAGAATGAGCCCCCAGTCATCTGTCCCTGGAAGCCCCCTCTGGTAATGAGGGTGCTATATTCACTCAGAATCCCTTGGTATGCTAATAACCTGGTTTTCAGTGTCAAGCAGGCCCCTTTACACTGGACTTACTCCTCCCACTTTGTAGATTATCACAGATTGAGGTTATAGCTCTGGGGCTCTTAAGGTACTACAGCTAGAATAATACAAACCTCAGGGGAACATTAGTACCCAACCCTATCAGAAATGCTTCCTTTCACTTCTGTGGACATTTGTGTGGGCATCAGATGCATTAGTTATCCTCTGACCTTTATTGCAAGATACTTGAATGCTGAGAGCTCAGGCTCTATTTGCTAAATATGCTGGATCAGCTTAGTTCCAGTTTTAGAATACTGGCAATCCAACTTCTAAAGAATGATCAATAACAATTGAAAAATACTAAACTTGACACTCATTCTAAGGTCTGACAGATGAGGGGAAAATTAGGAGGGAGAAATGGGTGATCAGAGTCAAGAAAGATGATTGAGAAGAGGCCATTAGGTTTGGAAATTAAAAGTAACTTTGGAGAGGTTAGATTCAGTTGCATAATGAGGTCAAAAGCAAGGATGCAAAGAATATAGTGGAAAGGAATTAAGGACACCCTCTCGTTATAGATAACCTTCTTAAGGACTTTTGCCACAAAAGGGAGAAGAAATGGATACTGGATGGATTAAGTGAGAGATTTTTGAGGATGGAGGAGGCATGTTTTTTTTTTTCTGGGTATGGAGGGAGACCAAAAGAGATCTTTATTCAGATTATGGAACTGAATGTAGTCTTAGCAGTAGACAGAGCCAGGTGGTGATATAGACTTTTTTGTGGGCAGCAGCAAAACAGTCAATAGACAAGGAGACATTGAAAATTAAGGAGTGTGGGGCTGATAGAGGAGGAATCTGCTGGAGGAGATGGGATATAATGGGATCACTTGTTCAGGTGAAAGGCTCTGCCTTGGCAATGAGAGGAGTCATTTTATTATGAGAAACAAATATCAAAGGTGTCAGAGGGCATCTGAGAAATGTGAGTTGAGGAGCAGGTGAAAAGAGAGAAGTCTTAGGGAATACCCTCAATATTTTCAGTGAAATATGAAGCAAGGTTCTTAATTAAAACAGTGGGGGAAAGGGGAAGCCA